TGATGAGGATACCAGGGACGCATACTCAAGCTTAGATCTTACATAAGCATAGTACAGTATTTTCAGTGTAAAGGAGTTGTGGAAATCACCGGTATTTCTTACAATAAAACCATACGCCTTTGATGCAGCCACAACAGCATTTTCAATGTGATAGGAGAAGGAAAGTTTTCTGTCAAATGTGACTCCCAAGTCATTAATTGTACTAGGTCTGTCAAGTTTCCTGTCACCAATACTATATTCATACATCATTACCCCTGTTTTTAAAGTAAACGACAAAACGTGACACTTAGCAGCATTCAAAACAAGTCTGTTTTCACGACACCAGTTACAATGTTGCGTTGCAAGCGATGACAATCGTCAATGTTGGAGACTACAGAAAAGTTTCATATCGTCAGCATATATAAGAAAATCGACATCGATAACTTCAGAAATATCATTTATGAACATAATAAATAACAGAGGTCCCAAATTAGATCCTTGAGGAACACCGAACATTACAGGGTATTCGCGTGACCATTGCACATAACATATTGTTTCCTATGACATAAATAAGATCTGAAAAATAGCAACAATGCATCTGAAAGACCAAATCTAGATAACTTATTGAGTAGAATGTTATGGTCTAAACTATCAAACGCTTTAGAGAAATCAGTATATATTACTTCCGTTTGAAGTTGTCTAGCTAATGGATGCTGGCGACTCACTTTTCTCACTTTTTTCGATCCATTTCGCTTTGCATTGAAAAATTCACTTTTCTCAATATTTTTGCTCTCGCTGTTTGTACATGTTTTAGTTTATGCACGTCTTCGAAGAAGCTAAGAACTAAGACAAAGTTGTTCAGGTACAGGGTTCTCCCCAAGCTGAACCAATACGAATTACATGAGAAATTAGTTGAAATCTACGTTGAATTTTAATTTTTTTTGCTAAAACCACTCTTAATGATATGCGAATATTTAAGGGTGTGAATCTACATGAAAAATTAATGTTAGTTTGCTTTATAAATTATAATCCTAAAATGTTTTCTTACAAAAACTCGGGGTGTTGAAGTTTTAGGAAAAAAAAATGGAAATTAATTAGTATTTTCAGAACCGTTTCAGATATTTCACTGATATTTAGTACGTAGTGAAAGTTAATAAAGTTGCATATTTTTCAATGCAAAAATAATTTTCAGCTTTAACAGTGGCGTGCGTACGGGTATTGACTTCGATATTTTTTTCGAAAAAAATGGTACGCACAATAGTTTTTGGTCAAATAAAAATTATTTTTTAATTCCCCGTTCAATTTAAAACAAATCGGACTATATCGGATGGTCCAATAATTCCACGTTTTCTTCCGTTAAATACTGCCTTGTTTTTGGGCTGTGTGCGAGCTTGCATTGTCTTGGTGGCGGATGATTCTTCTTTCGGGGTTGATTTTTCGGAGCTCGGTGATGACTTTTGGCAAACAAATGGTGGTATACCAATCCGCAGTAACAGTTCTTTGCTCATTAAGAGGAATTGTTACAATATGACCCGCTTTTGACACAAATGTCGCGACCATCTTTTTCGAAACACTTCGAGAACGGATGACTTTTGTTGGCTTTTCTTCACCTTGGAACACCCAAACAGCCGACTGTCGTTTATTTTCTGGTTCATAACAGTAAATCCACGATTCATCACCACTAACAATGCTGTACATTTTTTGAGTTTCCGGAACTGAAACGGTCAAGAGTTTTTTGACACCAATTAACCCTGGCTGCTTTCTGCTCTTCAATCAACAGGTGGGGTATCCAACGAGAAACTAATTTTCTTACTCCTAATTCTTCATGTAAAATTTTTAGAATTGAGGTCTTTGAGATGTTCAAGGACGCCTCAATCTCGAGATATGTCACATGTCTATCTTCATGATGAGTTTGCGCACAGCATCGGCGTTTTTCTGGGTGACTGCCGTTTTTGGTGCACCCACCCTGGGATCGTCGTTAAGACTCACCCGTCCACGTTTAAACTCTCCATACCAACGGGAAATTGTCGCCTGATGTGGCGCTTCGTTGCCGAAAACAGACAGTAACTCAGCAAGGCATTCAAGTAACGTGGGACGTTGAAAAAATTAACTATGTGTACAGTCTCTTGAAATGGCTCTATTTGCTTTCAGTAAAACTACTTGACATCATTCTTTCTCACTCATAAGAATCGTAAATATTTGTATTTTCTACAAATACAATCTATTCTCGTACGTTCGCTAAAATATCCCCAGCTGTTTAACAAACACGATACTTTAATTGAATTTCAATGTACATCACCTCATACGTAAACACGTAATGTACATCATATAATTGTATGATTCACAATTAGATAAGAAATTATAGCAATCAAAAATCGGACTTGTGACCCTATCAATTTTCATGTAAATTACAGTCCATGAATCAAACTTGCTATTCAATTTTTTTGGATGATGTTGCAATCGGTGTCTAGTTTGATAATAGTGATAAAATGATAACATTCTAACGCCACAGATGTTTCAAAATTTTTGATTAACGTCGAATGTCCTTTTTTTCAACAGGAGTATTCTTAATACTTTTCACCTGATTGTTTCATGCTATGTATAGATATCAATGAAAAACAGTGTTATCAGTTTTTTTTGTAGAAAAATGCATTTTTGTGTCTTGTTAACAAATAATAATACAGCTATAATATTGTATGTGAAGATTTCACTTTTATGGTTGATTACTTTTTTCTTATCACTTTCGCTCTTTGCTTTTTGCTTTGCTTCAAAATTGTTTCAGGAAAATCAAAGATTTTTCGAAGAGAAGAACTTATAAGAATAAAAGTAATCACCCGCTTGCACTATAAAAGTGGAATTGTCGCATACGATTTCAGAGCTGTACTAATATTTGTCAACAAGTTACGAGTGCAGAAAAAATGCACAATAAAATGAATTTTGTGACAAAAATATACCGTGAAATAAAAAGGAAGGAAAAGGACTTAGAATACTGCTCCAAATAGGCAGTTGAAAAAAGGGACATGCGACCTTAATGTAAGACTTGAAACTTATCCGTGGTGACGGAAACGTCGTCCAGAAAATAGTATTTCAAACATACAGTAATGGACAAAAGTACATAGACATCTTCCAGTCACAAATGCTCCAATCAAGGTGCAAATTGTAATCGGTCCTTACGGTTTTTCCTCGAGATTAGCGTCTTCATACTCGGGCGACGTGCAAATAACTTCAAATCATTTAATCTTCTACTTATAAAGGTAGTTTCCGTAGAAACACTGACAATTCCTTTTGTCTCGATTTCGGCTTTTATTTGGGGTTTTAAACGGATCTTTGGACGAAATTACTTTCATTAATCTAACTGATCCAGCATTTAGTTTTGTAGGCCGACCACTTAGAGGCGTCCAAGATACCGTTTTGTTTATATTTGTTCAATATTGTCCAAACTGCTTTACACTTCAGCTTCAAATTTTTGGCAATGTCTACTTGACGTTGACCATCTTTGTATAACTCGATGATCTTAGTTTTCACATCGAAAGAAATTTCTGGACCACGCGGCATGGTCTTAAAAACACTCAACTTATTCCGCAATACTTGATGAACACAAACTAATCGCATTTGTTTATGGAGCAATGAAGTATGGATTCGTTTTCTAAAGGTATTTAGGTAAATATTCATATTTGTCTATATACTTTTGTCCATTACTGTATGTCATTTCATAATGCCTACATCACCAAAATCACAGTGTTTCAATGTTGATCCGTTCCTGATTCCTCAAATATCCGTTAAGAAAATCCTAACCCAATTTAGGGAGCATTAATATTGTAAACCTTTGTTTTTAATTGTTAATCAAGCGCACACTCAATATATATTCTTTAAGAGCGCTTCACAAAGAAAATACTTCCTCAAATTCTTTGGGACTTTGTTAATGTTTGAAGAATATTTAGGAATCGTGGCAACATTAGAGTTTTCTTTTTTCAGGGCCGAAAAAGCATATTCGCACGTTTTCCAATATAAAATCGCTTATACTTCGAAAACTTTAGAGAAAAGATCACGAAATTTTTTTGCATAATTTTTTACGCAATTTTTAGCCCGGCAACATTGATTTGAATGAATAAGATTCTCCCACATTTTCTTATGCCGAAGCAACCGTGGTGGCAGGAGCCTAAATACCGGAGCACCGCGGCTGCTAAAAGGCAGGTCGTTCCACAATCTCGACACTCTGGAGACAAAGGAGCGTCCATGGTGAAGTTGGCAGCAAAGATCTCTGAACCGGTTACAATCATCCATCTTGGCACGCAAGGCTACTCTTTGAGAAGTTCCCCTCAATCTGCTTGGCCAGCGTCCAGAAAGGCCGACTGCCATTGCGCTGCAACATTACCCTATGCCTGATGTTGTAATCCCCCAATTTGTTATGTGCACCTCACTTATGTGGTGCTCATTGTATATTTATAAATCTTAACCATACGTTTTTCGCTCACAAATTACCATTCTTAATGTGCGATGATGTCATTCGCAATGTGATTCAATTTTATAACGAAACATTTGAATCTTTTGTTATATACAGGAAAACGGTTATTGTGGTTTGTATGCTAGATGTTTCGTTTTCTTGTTACACATCTGACGATGTTACGTTTACACATAGGCAATCATAATAAATGAAAATACTTCAAATAGTTTGAGTACTTAACTGGAATTATTTTCCGCATTCCTCGCAAAACGCATACGTTACTCCTTTGGATATTTTTATTTACCGAGCAGTAAAATGAAACCAGAAATAGCCACATAGAAGTTGTCTAACGTGATTGGTCAAGCAAAAAAGGGTCTCTTCCCACATCTCGCAAAAAATAATAAATGAAAGAGGGACTTGCAAGTTTTTGTGTACGGTTTTGGAATTTTGCGATGTCGGATTTTATTCTTTGTAATGGTGGTGGGGATTCGTGGAAATCTTAGCATGTATTACGTATTAGAATTTATTATTGTGTAGTAGACGATCTAATTAACGAAGTAATTGTGCTTGATCACAAGTACTAGTAATATAGTAATATGTATTTACTCTAAAATACAACATGAAATGAGAAAATAAATATAATTTATCCATATGTAAGTCGAATTGCAATAGATAAAGAAAGAATAGTGAGAAAAAAGTAACAGAAATGCCCATCATTTTTATATGTTCGAGGTGTTGTATTGACACATGATTTCTGGCATGACTTTAGGAAGTTTTCACGATATTTCCAATATAACGGATGGAAATTCGGTAGCCTATACAACTTTAGGAATTCAAGACTTCAGTACGTTTAGACATTGCTCCAAAATACTTCTACATGTACTTCTATGATAGAACATATTTCCAAAATATGATATGAGATGCTTAGATTTAAGAGACAAAAAAAAAACAGCAATTACGAATTTGATACTCCAAGCAAATTACGTCAAATGCCTCATTTTGCAAAAATTGCACAAACTACTTATACGAGGGATGTCTTTTAAGTTTTGCATATGGAAATAAAACAACACGGTAGGTATTTTTAAATGACTTTATTGTTTTTCCAAGTATTCTCCACGAAGATTAATACACATCTGCATGCGCTCCACGTTTTCTTCCGTTAAATACTGCCTTGTATTTTGGGCTGTGTGCGAGCTTGCATTGTCTTGGTGTGGGATGATTCTTCTTTCGGGGTTGTTTTTTTGAAGCTCGGTGATGACTTTTGGCAAACAAATGGTGGTATACCAATCCGCAGTAACAGTTATTTGCTCATTAAGAGGAATTGTTGCAATATAACCCGCTTTTGACACAAATGTCGCGACCATCTTTTTCAAAACACTTCGAGAACGGATGGCTTTTGTTGGCTTTTCTTCACCTTGGAACACCCAAACACCCGAATGTCGTTTATTTTCTGGTTCATAACAGTAAATCCACGATTCATCACCACTAACAATGCTGTACACATTTTTTGAGTTTCCGGAATTGAAACGGTCAAGCGTTTTTTGACACCAATTAACCCTGGCTGCTTTCTGCTCTTCAGTCAACAGGTGGGGTATCCAACGAGAAACTAATTCTCTTACTCATAATTCTTCATGTAAAATTTTTTGAATTGAGGTCTTTGAGATCTTCAAGGGCGCCTCAATCTCGCAATATGTCACATGTCTATCTTCAATGATGAGTTTCCGCACAGCATCGACGTTTTCCTGGGTGACTGCACCCACCCTGGGATCGTCGCTAAGACTCACCCGTCCACGTTTGAATTCTCCATACCAACGGGAAATTGTCGACTGATGTGGCGCTTCGTTGCCGAAAACAGACAGTAACTCAGCAAGGCATTCTTGTTGCGCTAATTGTCTCTGAAAGTTGTAATAAATTATGGCGGTAGAGTTCCATTTTTCTAATGACTTGGTGATACTTAAAAATTCACTGTAGTGAGAACACTGCACGCATTGTTGTGAAACCTTGAATTTAAGTTTACTAAAGAGTGAGGTTAAGATTCAGTACTGACGTTCGATCCGCGCGGCCTACTGTGTTTCTATATGCAAAACTTAAAAGACATCCCTCGTATGGAAAAATAAAAAAGTATAGCTGTCAAATATGGATTGTTTTCAAATTGCTTATATCTACTTCAGAAATAGATAGATCTCCATGAAATTTGAAGAACAAAAGATGGGATTGGTCTTAAAATAGTGAAAAAAATATACAGGGTGACTTTGAAGTTGAGTCATTAATTTTCAGATAATGATTGTAGAAGGAAGATAAACCAGAATATGTGTGTAAAAATAAAAAAAAAATTAAAAAAAAATGTTTACCTTGTTTTATAAAGTATCCTCCCGACAAGTATTTCAGTGCGGACCTGTATTTGATCGTGAGGTCCCCTGTGAGGTCTTAAGTCACCTGATTCACGAGCCCGTTGTACTACATTAACAAAGGCACGAGGGGTTGGTTGCACTCGATTGGGAAACCGATCCGCATAAACATGTGCCATTTTTTATTTCGTTTGAGCCACGCAACAGACACTATTCACACGCTAACCGACAGACACTAACTGGATGTATAACTGAACTGAATAAAATACTTAATTACAAAAACATCGTTCCAAATTCTTTCGCTTTTTTGTTTCCGATGCGATGAACCGGTAAGGCGGATTATACCCGTTGTTGCCAAACACGAGTACATGATATTATTATTGAGACAGGGCGGTACTCAAACTTCCAAAGGGCTATAACTTTGTTACTTTAATTTTACCAGAAAAATGGTAAAGGAAAAAAACATTTCTTTTGATCAGATCTACTCACTGTTAAAATAAATGACTCAACTTCGAAGTCACCCTGTATAAGCGTATGATAGAAAAATATAGAATGCTGTTTTGTATCAAGAAAAACGTATTAGATCGTCGGTTCTGGGTACGCCTGTGGGTAAATATGTCTATGTTAAACACAATTTTATATATTCAGTCGTCTGTACATTATTTTTGCATTTAATTCGGATGTTCCATTTTCAAAATGAAAATGTACCACAGCCTCGCACCAATGTCTTAAGGTACTTGTCACCTCACTCAAGTTGTATTTTTAGCCTTTTTTGCGTTTTTCAATATAGCGAATCCCAGACTATATGTCTGAGATCAAAAATGGATAAATAGATTATTTGTTTATCTGATTACTGTATAAACTTTGACTAATATCAAACACTACTTTAAGCATCCTAAGTATTTACACTTGGAACAATAAGTATTCTTTAAGATATTCTATAAATAGGATATACAGCATGTCACATGATTCAACTTTAAGCTGAGCCGGAAAAAGTCAGGTGGGAACATTTACAGAACAATAAAACATTACGAATTCCAGGATGATGTTGTCGAAATTTTATATATGCTCTAAACTTAAACCAAGGTATAGACATTGATCGTCCGACGATTTTCACAGATACATCAAAGGCCGATACGGTAATTAGTATTGACATCCTCAAATCTGACCCCCTTTTCTTTTTCAGGCAAGAAGTGTTAGACCATCGTGTTCAATGGAACGCCTCGTTCACCTTTCCTTGCAAGATGATGGCCAATGCCAGCACTGGCGTGATGGAAAGATGCCTGCTAAGGGTGTCCGTGAGGAAAGAGTCCAAGGGTGGAAGGTCCTTCACCAAGCTGGGCTTCGTCGATCTCAATTTGGCCGAGTATGCTGGCGCGGGGGTTGTCAGGAAGAAGGCGCTGTTAGAAGGGTGAGGATCAGTTTTTGGTGCCATTGATTACTGGAACCTGGAAGCCAAGGGTTGATACAGAAATAAGGTTCTCAAAGAGCTGCTGCAGCCTTACGAGAAGGTGCGAGGCTGTTCCAAACTCTCAATTCCCCTGGCCGCGCTCATAAAATGTTCTGAGGGATTTTTTTGGGAAAAATAAAATAGTTGAACATTTTTGGAGTATTTTATACCATCTTTTTAAACTTTAAAAAGTGTCCACTACTAAATAACTAACTTCTTTCCAGTTCCCCCACTCTCGATTACCAGGTCGCGCTCTGGGTTGCACATTCCGGGATTTTCCTCAAATTTGGGGAATTTTCATTCTCACGTCCCTTGGGGAATTTTTGAAGGAAAATAGAAATAGTTGAGTATTTTTGGGGTACTTTTATCTATCTTCAACTACGAAAAACTGCCCACTGCTAAATAACAATTTTATCTTTCTGTAGTTTTTTCTTTCCAGTTCCCCCACTCTCGATTACCCAGGCCGCGCTCAGTGTTCCCATATTGGGGGATTTCCCCCAAATTTTGGGGATTTTTGTTTTCACGACCCTTGTGGAATTTTTGGGGGATAAAATGTACTGGGAGATTTTTTGGAGAAAAATTAAACAGTTGGGTATTTTCATTTTCACGTCCGTTGGGAAATTTTTTGGAGGGATAAACTGTTCTGTGGGATTTTTTTTGAGAACATTTAAATAGTTGGGTATTTTTGGGGTATTTTATTCCATCTTAACTACGAAAAACTATTAACTGCTAAATAACAATTTTATCTTTCTGTAGCCTTTTCTTTCCAGTTCCCCCACTCTCGATTAACCAGGCCGCGCTCAGGGTCGCCATATTGGGGGATTTCCCTCAAATTTTGGAGATTCACATTTTCACGACCCTTGGGGAATTTTAGGGGGAATTTAATGTTCTGGGGGATTTTTTGGAGAAAAATTAAATAGTTGGGTATTGTCATTTTCACGTCCTTTGGGGAATTTTTTGGGGGGATAAGACGTTCTGGGCGATTTTTTGGGAGGAAAATAATATAGTAGAGTATTTTTGGGGTACTTTTATCAATCTTCAACTACGAAAAACTATCCTCCGCTAAACAACAATTTTATCTTTCTGTAGCTTTTTCTTTCCAGTTCCCACACTCTCGATTACCCCGGCCGCGCTCAGGGTTGTCATATTGGGGGATTTCCCCCAAATTCTGAGGATTTTCATTTTCATGACCCTTGGGGAATTTTTGGGGGGATAAAATGTACTGGGGGATTTTTTGGAGAAAAATTAAATAGTTGGGTATTTTCATTACGTCCCTTGGGGAATTTTTGGAGGGATAAACTGTTCTGTGGGATGTTTTTTTGAGAACATTGAAATAGTTGGGTATTTTTGGGGTATTTTATTCCATCTTAACTACGAAAAACTATTCACTGCTAAATAACAATTTTATCTTTCTGTAGCTTTTTCTTTCCAGTTCCCCCACTCTCGATTACCCAGGCCGCGCTCAGAGTTTCCATATTGGGGGATTTCCCCCAAATTTTGGAGATTTTCATACCTTCTTTCAAAATTCTTTCAAAATTTCGACAAAATCTGAAGTATACAGGGTGTCCGCAAAGTTGGGGTTTTCCTTTTCAGAAACAACTACCCTTGAAATAACAAAGGTGATGTGTAGTGAAACGAGGGCGACCAAGTAAAAAAAAAATAAAGGAAAAAGTACTCACTCTCCAGTTGACGAGAAGGGCTAAGTACGTCTCTTCCCGAAATCATACCGCTCCAACAGAAAATGAAATCAGCTGATGCGCTACCGAACAGACGCAGGCAAACAAGGAAGGCAAAATGTTGCGTAAAAAGTCTAGGTATTGCATCCCGTCCAATCGATTTGGGAGAATAAATGGTCCAATGAGCATACCGTTCACCATGCCAGCCCAAACATTCACCGAAAATGTTTGTTGAAAATGTGCCCGACGGACAGCGTGCGGATTTTCTACTGACCAAACATGAGTGTTGCGAAAGTTATTCACCCCATTACGCGTGAACGTAGATTCGTCTGTCACCAATATGTACTTCAAAAAGTCCGGATTATTGTCATGTTGATGCAACAACCACCCACAAAACCGCACTCTTGCTGAAAAATCGTCAGGTTGAAGGGCTTGTACACGTTGGACGTGAAACGGATACAGCCCCTCTTCACGCAGCGTTTGCCACACTTTAGTTTTTGATACTTGCACGTCTCTAGTGCTTGTTGTTTTTTGAAACGCAATCGATTATACGGGTTCGTTTACCTCTACACGCGTGACCGTAACCGTCGGTTGAAGGTTGCATACTGACCTGACACACTGACCCCGACCCAGTTCTGTCGTCGGGTTGAGCTAGTGTCCTAGTACCACTCGGGGATGTCGCGGGTCGCGGCTACAGGACGGTATTCAGATATTTTTGATGTTGCAGAGCCCTTTATCTCGGTTCCCTTAAGACATTGGTGTATATGGTACTAAGAAAAATTGCTTATGTTTTCAAGATCTACACGTCGTGTAAAGGAAAACCCCAACTTTGCGGACACCCTGTATAGTAGCTGTTTAGCTATAGAGGGATCAAAAGCACTTTGACACGAATTTTCAAGGTACACTTTTTTGTGCACGTGGATAGTTGTAAAGCGATTAAAGTTGGTTGATTGTCGTATTTGTGAAGGTAATGACAAATAATTTATTCATTACAGATATGACGCTAGAAGGCGACAAGACAATAGCATGTTGAAATTTAGGATAGAACTAAGTATGGTGTCTGGGGACATACTTTTCAAGGCGTAAGTATCATCAAATATTATCATGTTAGACTAGGTACTAGCGTGGAAAAAAAATTCACAGCGTTAGTCATATGCAATAGAATGCTTGTTCGAAACAAATGAGAAACTTTTTTCGTACTTTTTCTCCATGTCAGGTATACAAAAAATAAGGGCATCTACCTTAAGACAACTTGGGATAATTTTTAAATCGAATTAGAACATTTTTGAAAAAATTTAATTAGGAAATTTGGAGAATAATTTGTTAAATAATTGGAAAATTCGAAAATTTGGAAAATAATCTGAAAATCTTGATTTCAAGCACTTTTTTGTCGTCTCAAAATATATTATCCTTTGTAAAAACTAAAAAAAAAAACGCTTTAATAGCAAAACAAATTAGAAAGTAGTAAATAATTTTCAAGCATAGGAGAGTTTGTGTTATTGCAATAGAAACTCCAATTATCAATTATAGTACAAAAGCGAGAGCAATTAAATATATATTTTCATAATAATTCCACTTTTGTAAATAGCAAATAAAAAATAATACTAACGTTTAATATCAAGCACTCCATGCCTTTATAACTATAATTGATTTGTCTTTGTTAATGTCTTAATTTTCATATTGATCTTATTCCAAATTAATTAGTCATACTTGATTGTTGGACTTCCTATTGCCATAACACGAATTCTCATGTTCTTAAAAAAATGTTCTACTTTTTATTACAATTTGCAGTTAAAGCGTATATTTTTGTTTTAAGCTATAATTTATTTACCCATCAAATCACCTGTTCGGACTCATACTAGGTGTGTAAATTAAGTGATGAGACTGGCAACGTAGCGTTGGATCTGGCAACACCGGTGGCGCCGGGCTTGGAGGGGAGACAGAGGAACTTGTGATCCGCCTTCAGTACAAGATTGAACTCGCTCGAGTCATTTGTCCGTAGCGATTTTTTTTAAACAAATTTTATGACATCAATTTCGAGCAACGATGTGCTATCAGGTTGAGCACAGTGCAATGGAAACTCTTGCCAAACTTCAGCAGGCCTAAGGAGATAGTATTTGTCAAGAGGCCAGGTTTCTCGGCGGTTTAAAGCATTTTCAGAAGGGAGAAAGTCGATTGAAGAAGATCCACGAAGCGGAAGGCCTTCATCTCCAAGAACCGATGAAAATGTCGACAAACAAATCATTTAGCTCAAATACTCTCAACCCCTATCATTATAATTAATTCATGTACAAACGTTTATTTTCAGTCCCTCGCCATCGCTGAAGCATAAGCAAATAAACGTTGATGAAGGTGGCAACGAACAGAGGTCCGACGAATTTTCCAGTGGATCTTTAGCAGGTTCGATAGCCAGCGGAAGTTCCGGATTTGGATCACTGCCAAAGAAAAGGCCGGCGCTGCTTTCGTCAGGTAACTGTCAATGTCAAGCTCGATCATTGTTCATGCGGTGGTGAAATTTGCATATTTACACTTGACCAGTCTCATCGAAATTACGCTCAGGTCATTCAAAAAAGGAGCTTTGGGAAACGTAAAAGTTTTTAAAATGTTCGTATTTGCGGAATATATATATATATATAGCACATAAGCATTTGGACACTGCTTTAGAACTGTTAAATAGTGATATTGAAAAAATTATGAATTGGTTAAATGTCAATAAACTTAAATTAAATACTAATAAAACAAAATGTATGTCAATTATATGTCAAAAAACATTTAGGTGACAATATAATTAGGCTCATGATTGATGATGAAAAAATTGAAGTAGTCGATTCATTTAAATATCTTGGTATATATGTGGATAGTAAGCTATTGTTTTACGAGCATTGTGAATACATTATTTCAAAAATATCGAAAAAGATAAATTACTTTTCCCATAATCTTAGTATGTATTCCAACAAAATTGTGTATAACACTATCATTCTTCCCCATTTATTATATTGTTCAACAACCTTGTATACAGCAAATAAAAACTTATTTTCAAAATTACAAATTCTACAAAATAAAACTATGAGAATCATTTTAAATAAAAACAAATATGCTAGGATTAAGTCTATGTTAGAAGATCTGCAGTGGTTGGATGTGAAAAATGTCATATATTACTTAGTTCTCGTTTTCATATTCAAATTAAAAAATCATTTATTACCACCACATTTAGAGAACTTCACAAAATTAAATAGTCATTATCATAACTACGAAACTAGAGGCAGTATTGATTTTTATCTGCAAAATTGTAATAGTACCATAACTAGTAAATCTATATTTCAAAAGGGAGTATTTGAATTTAATAAATTGAATGATGATATTTAACAGAGTTCGAATTTAAAAATGTTTAAGATTAAATTAAAAAATCACTTTATGAATAATCAAAATACATAGTGACGTAATTTTAATTTTAATAAACAAGAATGTAAAAATACAGAAAATGGATTGATAAAAAATATGTAATATATAAATCATTATACAAAATTGACATTGTAGCATTAATGCTAAATAAATCTTCAACAACAACAAAAAGAAAGATAGAAATAGGGAGAAAGCTGCTGGATTCAAGAAATAATACATTTTAGGGACTTTTTTTTTGTTTTGTTTAAGATTTATTTAGCATGACTGCTAGAATTACATTCTTTTAAAAACTAAACAATGACATTACATACAGATATTTAGAATAACAAACTTTGCATTTCTAAGAACTTTCACTGCCCATGAAATATTCCTTCAATTTTCTTCTAAACATTTTTAATTCACAAGCATTATTTAGTTTATTAAATAAATTGAGGTGATCCTTTCTGAAATATTGATTTGCTAGTTATATTACTATTGCAATTTTGTACGTGGAAATCTATATTTCCTCTTGTATAATAATTATTGTGGTAATGATTATTCAATTCTATCTAGGGTTCTAAATGTTGTGACAAAAGATGATTTTTTATTTTAAATATAAAAGTAACAACCAAATATGAACCACTACAATTCTTGTAACATAGATTTTATGTTGGTCTACTTATTCAATATTATTCTCATAGCTTTATTCTGCAGGACTTGTAATTTTGAGAATACAGCTTCATCAGCAGTGAATAAGATAGTTGATCAATATAGTAAATGCTGTAAACAATTTTTTTGGAATATGTGTTTCTTTCACTGTATGTGGAATCTGGACAAGATGATCGATATTCAAATTGAACCTGTAATAATTAATATTAATCATTCGGACGATGATTCAAATACTTCCAGCGAATAAAGAATTATGAAAAGTATGTGCACTTCTTTCTATAAAAATAATCATTTATTCTGTTAGATTATTCCTATACCATTGAGGAAAATACGGACCTGTACAATCTCGCTTTAGAGCATGTTGTGTTTTGTATGGACGTAAATGGCCTACGAATGAGGTATAGAAGCTTTGCTGCATAACGCAACCGAAGTCGAAATCGATTTGCTGTTCGGCTGCTTTCAGTGGGCACGTCGCCTAAGACGAAAAACGTTGTAACCGCAAAATAAATGAAAAGCGGAAGATATCCAGTCATCCATAGAGATACCCATTCCCGTGCCGCCCATTCCGCGAAAGCATCGCTTTTAATTGAAAGGCATCATCCCGGCCGTGTTTCCGTGTTTCAAAATGGAATATTGTGTGATGTGGCAGGGGGAAATGAGTCTGTCTAAATTCTGAATAAATGTCAGCTGTTTCCTCATTTATCATTACTTAATGGGGTTGTGTTGGCGATCCTTCTGCTGACCCAGATATAGACTGTCGTCACAGTAGAGCTAGAAATTAGCTTTGCATAGTAATGATAATACATTTTTACAGTCGGATTGGTTTGACGCAGTATTCCCTACGAACGTTTGTAATTTCTGGGGTTGATAATATTTTCTGTACAGAAAAATATCATCTCATATACAGGGTGTTCATTTGAAAATTTCCAACCACGGATTTATCGAAAACCACTGATTAAAAGGGAAAATGCGGAGACAAGTCAGAAGATTTGTCAAGGGCGACAACTTTTTAATCAAAAACTACTACGCCTCCTTCCACCCTCTTCCCCCCAGGGTCAATCCCTTAAAAATTTTAAATGACAAGGGGTATCGAGTAATAGCTTGTTTGAAAGGTCTTTCGAAGTCGTTTATTTTGACGTTTGATTTTTTTAAAACGGTCGATTCGTTTTCAGAAAAATTATAAAAACCTTGATCTACCTTAATTTGTTCCGATAGAAAACAAAAACACACGGACATTTTCAAAAATATGTTGTGGGATATAATGGCAGCTTTCGATGATGCGTTGACGAAGTTCATCCAAACTTTCAGGTTGGGGAGTAAACACAATAGATTTCAAGTGGCCCCATAGAAAAAAGTCTAATGGCGTCAAATCAGGAGATCTAGCAGGTCATTTTATATGCGCTGTTCGCCTTATCGATTTATCTAAAAACTCGTCGTCTAGCCACTGCCGAACCGGAATAACATAGTGAGAACCATCTTGCTGGAAATATATTTCAGCCTCATCAAGTATAGGGTTTCCATTGTCTTTGATTTGGTTTTCAATGGTTTCAGTGATAAGCGGAATGGTGGTATTTTCCATTATACCATATCCAAATACATGCCTCCATTCAGATTCCATTAATAAACAATGGCCCAATCACTTTGTTTCCCAAAATGCCTTCCCATGCATTAATTTTTTGGGGGTAGTGGGTATGCCCTTCTACAAAGGAATGAGGATTTTCATTGCTCCAATACCTGCAGTTATGCTTATTAACAAATCCATTTAGATAAAATGCATTCATCACTGAAAGCAGAGCAACTAGATATTTGTTGCTAAATTGCATTCTTCAATTATTACATTAATTTTCTCGGACAATAGAAGGGTTTTTATTTTTTACTCAAAAATGGCTCATCGAAGGAAAACAATTCAAGAGAGATCATTTGTTTTAAATTGAACGGGGAATTCAAAAATAATATTTTTATTTGGCAAAAAACCATTGGTGTACCATTTTTTTCTTAAAAAATATCGTAGTCAATACGCGTACGCACGCCACTGTTGAAGCTACAAATATTTTTTGCATTGAAAAATATGCAACTTTATTAACTTTCACTACGTACTAAATATCAGTGAAATATCTGAAGCGGTTCTGAAAATATTAATTGATTTCCATTTTTTCTTTAAAAACTTCAACACCCCGAGTTTTTGTAAGGAAACATTTTTGGGCCATAGTTTATAAAGCAAACTAACATTAATTATATAATATAAGGAACACCCTGTATTGATTGATACAAACTCAATATTTACGTAATATAAAACCAAGGATTTCTCGATAAACGACTAAAATGGCCGCAATGAATTACGTAACATGCCTTCAATTTTTCTCCTTGTTGCAGACCTGGTGATCGGGCAAACCCTCCAAGAAACCAACGCGGCCACTCCTCCTATCGTCGGCGACTATGCATCCGATCTACCCACCCAGCCGGACCCCCAAGAACCACCGATCGTTCCGACGAGTACCACCTGCAGCAGCGAACCCGGTCACTCCAGGAACTCCTCGAACACCAGCCAGCTATCGAAGGCTTCGGGGTACAGTAGCGGAGCGCATTCGCACAGCAGGCAGAGCAGTTCTGGGGATTCGGGACATGTCAGGTGAGCGAGTGTGGGGGTAGCGCATGCGTAGACTTAGGTAGGAAGGATGTTAGACTATCTACTCGCCAGACAAGTAAAAACAGGTTCTGTCTGTTGCAACTGTTAGCGTGGAAACGTAACCTGGACAAATTTATTAACCAACGTAGACACGTGGCCAAACCTTGCATGCTAGTAAGTAGTACGACAAAAAAATAGGAACAATAGGCGAAGGGCGGATCTACAACATACCAAAAAAATGACCCTAGTAAATGTTTCACTGTTTTTGAGATATTAATTTTTTTTATTAAATAACAGAATATCTGTTTGTTTTTTTTTTCAAAATATTCTCAGATATTTGGTCTGCTATTTGAAATATCGTTTTCGATAAATACAAGTAGGTAAACTCTTCGTCGTAATTTTTATTTTCGAAAACTACTCAACTTTGGTATTCAGCTTTGAAATAAAAATGTACTAGACTGCTACTGCAAAGTACTACGATAAATTTCCTGCTTAATCAGCACTTCAGAATGGTAAAATAATGCTACCGTTCTTAAAAAATTCGAAAAAAACCAAAAAATTAATATCTCAAAACAGTGAAACTTTTACCAGGATCATTTTTTTGGTATGTTGTAGATCTGCCTTTCGCATATCTTCCCCATTTTTTTGTAGTACTATTTACCCTGTGTATTAAAAATGGGTGCGACTCTGCACTTCCCGCACAACGTTCACATCATTTTATAAAATTTTGTCCGGCACAGATTACACCTTTTTAGAAAAAAAGTCAACTATGAATATGCCGTCCGACAACGTTGCTCTCAGTTCTGGATGGGTTTTAGCGTTTTCGGGACGATGGACGAGGGTGACGTGTCTGGTACATTAAAAACACGGCAGACAACCTCATGCTCGCTTGTCGCTTTGGGATGCTGGAGGTCCTTTTGGGAGCGCGAATAACTACCCAACGCGGTCATCGCCTTTGCAATTTCAGTATTTTACAGGACCGTTGAAACTTTGGTAAAGCAACACACTATATAGGAATGTGAACAGGAAAGAAAACACAAACCAAGTATCACCTGGAAGACAGATAAAATATATTGTCATTTGTACTTGAAAAGCCCACCATGGTGGCCGAAACGTCGTCAGTAAGCAGTATTTCAGGAATATGTGATTCATCTTGCAGTCATGGAGAAATGTTGCGATACGAAAACCTCCAGCGGAAGCAGCTATTTCTGCCACTCAAAGTGGTAAAATCTATCTTGTTTATATGCAGGCACCCACCCCTAATTATTTACTGCTCAAAGAATTTCTAAAAGATGACCAGGAGTCTCTGATATCAAAAAAAGATTTTTTTTGCTTTGTGCCTTTAGCACCGCCGCCACTGGACCATTTTTCACAACATACAAAGATTTTTTTGTCCTTGGCATAGTATGTCAACATTTCATCAAAATCGGAACGGTACTTTCCAAGTTGTTTTAAAATGGCAAACGGATAGATCGTTGGAAAGTTTTTCGCGATGTGCATCCAAAAAAATATATCACATTTTCGATTTTTTTTTTCGCAAAAAAGTCCCAAGAACAGTTAGGATTGAAAAATTCACACTAGGTACGTGTGGACGAGCAGAACAGCCGTTTTGCCTAAATTGCTGCAATCCTCATTTCACTAGTATGCTTTATGGGTTCCAGGCCCGTAGGGTATTATACGGAGTTTTGAATATTGAACATGGACATATAGTCAGGACTTCACTATTAAATCATCGATTCGGATATGTGAACATTATACAGTAGCACAATTAGTATAATGAGCAAGTCCGATGAGCAATTATGATTTTTGCCATTTTACCACTGTTTATAAACTATCTGAACTCTGGTTTATAAGCTACATAAATATCTTCGAATAACAGCCTTCCTGCAATATAAACTGTACCGCAATTACTTGCTTTTGCTAGTCTAGTAGAGTAGATAGTCTTGGAGGTAGTAAAATAGTCAGTAACTTCAAAAATGGAGACATTAAAGTTCAGATTTTAAAAGACGAACAAAACGATCTGTTTTTATTCCACCTCTTAGATGGATGCTTTTCAATATCTTGATTTACTAATCGATTATACGCAGAAGAAAGAGAGATAGTGAGTAGCCATACTGTAAATAAATGTAAAAATACTGGCGTCTTTACGAGAATTAAAAAAATAGACAAAAAATACGATTTTGGCTATAAAATACGACGGATATAAGAAAATTTTGTCGAATCACATTGTCTTTCGATATTAGAAAATTTTCATTAAATTGTTACACATCCTGAAATTTCTGCAGTATTTTTATCAGATCGTATCATAAAAAAAATCGATAATAATGATTTATCGCCAATAAAAAAATGACTTGTTTGGATAACATTCAGACGAATGTCAATATTTACTTCAACGTTTTCACTAAAGACACAGTAAAAAACATAAAAATAACTTTGAATAAAAAATATACGACCTATTTTTGGTTAAGAGTTCTTTTTTTAATATCACGTTTCATTTCATCTTGATCCTAGGTCTACGTTTAAAATGCGTAATAATAATCCGTTGTAAAAAACCTGACATATAATAGCAGAAAAACTGAACATTGGTATATTGCAAAACGATGAGACATTGAATGTATAATAAAAGTATTTTCAAACAGTCACAGCAGAAATGCAATTGAGGGACCAATGCTAGCACCTTTCAAGTCCATTTTTTATAATTTTAAAGAAGAGTAATGTCCGGGATTGACTTGTTTTTGCCACGTTCGAGCAAGCAGGCAACCACCAATCCATTGCTTATTAATAGGGCTACATGATGTTAACTAAATTTTCCTAAAAAATGGACTTGGTCTGTTCTAGCATTGGACCCCTAAACTCGTAAAATACATAACTTATTTTCAATCATTGTTGATATGCAGTAGAACGTCACTGATGTCAGCTTCTGCACTTATTATTTTTAGGATGGATTTGGATAAGCTGTAATGCATGATTCTTTTACATTTAGGGCAGTGTATACCTCCGAACACTTTTATTTATTTTTTTGTTGGAATGGGCAATCACCAATTTTTAACCGGTACGGCGAACTGCCACTTTATTTTTATTATATTTATTTTTTTCTTGCTAGATGTAATGCATGCTAAACGTTTCTGTCCACATTAGGAATCAGCAGCACAGCCACTCGGTTAGAGCGCGAAACCATTCTACGCCACAAGGCACGTTTTTCCGCACGAACACTTACCCCAAAAAAATCAACATCCCCAACACCATTCCCTCTAACCAAGAAGTATTCCTCACACCAGAATGTCTTTTCACGTCCACTCCTACGAAAAAACCGTTGATTGAAGACGAAGTTTCGTTTTACTCGACGCCCAAAGGATTTTTCTCGCAGAATAGCACCGGAAATTCCAGCGGTACCGAGGAGTACAAGACTCCCGAGACTAGTGGGATCATCAGCGCTAAGACTGACGTATTTTCGCAGAATTTCAACGAATTGCAAAAGTCTTCTTCGACAAGCGTCATGGAACGCATAAAGACTGATATGATGAACGCAGATCTGTTGGCGAATCAACGTAAATCTGACACCGTATCCCAAAACAACAACAAACCTATTATGCACAACGGTGTCAGTATGGAAAACTTGGAAAAAGAAAAGAACCTTAAGAACAACGCACATAAAGCGGTGCTGCGCTCAAAAAGCGAGTTCCAAATACCGAAAATTCCACCTCTCCCGGCAGAAAAATCCTTAACCACCCGCTTGTTCAACTCAAACAGTCTGATCTCGTTTCTAACGCCAAGGTTGAAACGGAAGAGTTTGAAGGGTGGCCGTCACAGTCCTCCGAGCTTGACGTTGTGTCCTCCTCCTACCTCGCAGGCTCTGAAGAGTCTTCCCGAGTCCCGTGCCACGAGTCTTTCATCGCTGAGGTCAGGGTGTTCAGCGGGCGACGTTCAAAGGTAGGTCGGAGAGGTTAGGTTTCTTTTTCGAGGGTTGGTGTGGTCTTTGCGATGTAACCTGTTGCTTGACATTTTGGAGAGGGTCTTGTGAAAACACTGATGAATCGTCCGCTGTTCTGGCCTATAAATAATATGTTAAACAATTGACTGAATGATTTTACCTGACACATACTGTATTCCGGCGTGTGAAAGAAAAGATACCAGCGCTATCTATGAGACAGTAGCAGAACAAAGTTACCTTACAAATCTACTTTGAAAAAAGCTATGATGTTCGATTGATTGATCGGAGATCTTAGCGCCATCTGTGAGACAGTTGCAAAAGCAAACTCTTTAGCTACCCCTACCTGTTACAATTCAGTATTACCTAATTTATTTTGTATTCTATTTTATTAATGTTTTTAGTTAGTAGAGGTATATTTCTCTGAGTGCAAGGTTGTGTTTGTTCGTGGATATTTTTGCAGGCTTCAATACACTGAACCATAGAAAAAAGTTTATAGCATATAACAGAAAGTACCAGGCCCAAGCTCTTAGAAAGGAATCATATATGAACAAGTCATTGAATGTATTGAAGAAAATAAGATATTGACAAAATTTCAAGCAGGATTCAGAAAAAAGTATTTTACTGAAATAGCAATTCAAATGTTAGTAGAAGAATGGAGGCGAAATAAGGATGAAAAGAAGTTTACAGTAACATTGTTCTTAGATTTCAATAGAGCATTTGAGACTATTGACAGGGAAAAATTGTTAACGAAATTGCATTGCTATGGATTGCAAGGTTCAGTATTCAACTTATTACAAAATTATTTAATCAATAGAAGTCATAGAACTAAAATTGGCAATACATTATCAAACATTAAAAACATTTCGGTAGGTGTGCCACAGGGTAGCAAATTAGGTCCATTACTATTTATTTTATATATTAACAATATTCCTGATATTTTACAACACTGCAAAATTCAACTATTTGCTGATGATACATTAATATATATATATATTTTTTTTCTCTTTATATATATATATATATATATAGAGAGAAAAAATTATCATGCGGAGAAAGGTATATAACAAAAATAGGAAAATAATGGACAAAATCCGCAAAAAGTGGATTCGAGCAGAAAATAGGATAGGTAACCCGAGCGATACGTATTTCTGCTGGTTGGCTTCATCAGGCCCGAAATGAATGCACATATGCAACTACAAAAGTAGAGACACATGCCCATACATCCGGATACCGGTATAACCTGAGGAAACAAAGTTGTGGACTTCGTGCGTCTTTTTTTCCTCTCCAAAACAACAACAAAATTTGGATTTCAATTTCGAATTTTTTTGTGGCTACAATACTTCCTCTCCAATTGGCCTGAATAAAGTAAGAAGCATCTTTTACGGTAAATGTGTGCAAATATTCGTTTTTTACACGAAAGCTCCAGGGCGGAGAGGTCAAAATATTTAAATGACACAATATCGCTTTCAGTGTTTTCACAACCCCAATGATTCCTGCATGTTGCACTCATATCTTACTTTTCTGCATTATCGTGCACGTCTTCTGCTATTTGGTTACTGATATCATGCCGAATTTTGTTTTTGATTGTGACGTTCTTTTTTTTGTTTGCCATAATTCACTGCAACTTCATGAATGCTGATATAAATATGAATCATTCAAAATTAATTCCATCGGATGACTTGTGATGTTTATGAGTACGTTTGGTTTAATCTCATTCATTTGTGGATTGAAATATCGCTTTTTTCTCGCAGTTGTTCCGTTCTTTTACTCTACACAAACAATATATTTTAATAGCCAGAAACTGTAGTTTCCTGGTTGCATAGATGGCGTGTCACCTTTCGTTTATTAGGAGTACCTGATTTATACGTATTTGAAAAGCTGTTTTAACACTCTCAGAGCGATCTTCTACTTTTTTCACGAATGCTTGCTGCATAAGCATTCTAGAGAAAAAATGAAACTTTATAGCGTTGATCTTGTCGATAATAATGACTAAATATATTTTTGCAAATGGTTATATTGTTCAGTCAAATATCCGAAAAGCGTTTTTATCATGAGGTAAACTCATAATCGAACAGAGTCGAGTATAGTAATAATCGATATCAGTAGCCATTTAATTTCTTTATTAAACATTCTACCTTAATCACTTTTTCTAGTTTCTTTTCTAAATGACTTTTCAGACCTGGCATTGGGCTTCAATTAAATCGTACGTATTATACATCACATCATTATTCATCTTTTATTACATATGTATATTAATAAATAATATTAATACACCTAGCTAAGTAGTATGCTCTTAATGATATGAATGCAGCAACAGCTCAAATTTGAATATATGCTTTGAACCTTGATTACTAAAAAAATGAGGACACGAGTTGTATGTTTCACTAATATCACATGCGAAAGATTATTCCAAGCAGACGTACATTTGTACATGTACTTCAATATTTAAACTGTTTGAACTTTCATGAGATTGACTAGTTTAGAAAAAGATGGAATTTCAACGTTTTAATCCAAGAAAAAATATTAAGATACAATTGAAAAAAAAACACAACTTGTAGGTTATGAACAAAAAATTCAGTCAAGTAGATTGACTCGGTGCTTCCCAGGCATAGAAGAATCTATTTAAAATTCTAGGTATGCCCTAGTTCGGCATTTTTTTTATCTACACCATAAAGTGATCACAAATATGGAAATATCCATAAACGAAGTTTGAGAAAAACACCGCTCCGCCTTGTTGTCTTTCCGAAAAATTTAGTTTTTCTTTACGACTAGTCCGATTTTCATAACCTGTAATGCGATTCTATTAAAATCTGAACAGTGCTTTTTGACTTGTACAAAGACCAATGATTAATATATCTATGGGGTTGTCCAAAACAGACGCAGGAAAGTAAACGCATATTAAAACAAGAAAGATTGATATTCAAATCAAGTTGGGTACTTTATTTTAAAGGTTCATTTATACCATTTATGTATGAAAAATAATATCGCTCAAATGTTCACCACGACTGGATTTACAAACGTCCAAGCGATGGTCGAAATTTTCAATGACATTTTGCAACATGGTCGGTTCTATGGCAGTTATCTCGGCAATGATGTTGTTTTTGAGTTCTTGGAGGGTGGCTGGTTTGTTGACGTAGACTTTGCTTTTCAAATATCCCCATAAAAGGAAGTGCAAGGGAGTCAAATCTCACGATCTTGGTGGCCATGGCACATTTTCTCTGCGCGAAATCACGCGATCACCGAAGAAGGACTGCAATCGATGATGCCTTTTGACCACACCACACAGTCACTTTTTGAGGATGCATCGGCTGCTCTTGACACTCACGGGGATTTTCGTTCGCCCAGATGCGGCAGTTTTGCTTGTTTACCGTCCCCTTCAAAGTGAAATGCGCTTCGTCGCTGAACATGATTTTTGATGAAAAATTGGCATCAATTTGGCGGTGTTCAAGGAGCCAATCTGAGAACGTTCGGCGCGGAAAATGGTCGGCCCGACGCAGCTCTTGCGTCAATTGGATCTTGTAGGCGTGTACATTCAAATCCTTGTGGAGAATGCGGAGCAAACTGGTTCTCGAAATGCCCAATTCTTGGGATCGACGCGTTGTTGATTGTTTCGGATCATCTCTCACACTCTCCTTCGCGACAGCAATATTTTCCGGTGTGCGAACGCTCCTTGGCCGGCCAGAGCCTGGCAGATTTGCCACAGAATCTGTTGCCTCGAATTTACGCACCAGACGACCGATGGTTGTTTCGTTTGGGCGGTTGTTGCGACCGAAATGTTCACGAAGCGCGCGAAACGTGTTTTTTATTTTTGCACCATTTTTGTAGTGCTCTTGAATAACTTTAATGCGGTCTTCAATCGAGTACGACTCCATAGCGATCAATGGTAAACATTCAACTAACAAAATGACATGTCGGTGACAGAAAACAAAGATGGCGTCTATGTCAAATTGACGTTTACTTTCCTGCGTCCCTATTGGACAACCCTTTATTATACAGTACTTCCCTCATCATTCAACTGGTTTCGAGAAGTATGAAGGTTTCAAAAAACCAGGAAAATGATCTAAATAATTGAACCTGGACCTTAATACATTTAAGTTAAAATAGCAGGAATTTGCTGCACTCATATCGTTCAGAAATTTAGGTAATATATCGGGTGACAATAAGAATTGAAAACACGCTGTATTTTTTTGGCAAATAAAGATATCGCTGCAAGATTGCGATATGTTTAGTTAGTCATTAAGAGGCATTGCTGGAAAGTTGAATGGGTTTAACCGGAAGTGACCTTGACCTTCGTTTTTCAAATGGAAACCTGTATATTTTCTTCCATAATTGAACTCTACGCTAAATTCCCTTTCCAACGATATGTCACAAGTGACATTTTCGTTTTAAAATGCCGGCGCTATGAAGGAATTTGTGAATAACCTTAAATCCGCCAGATTGCTTATAGCGCCACCTTTTTAAAACGAAAATGTAACTTGTGACATATCGTTGGAAACGGAATTTCGCATAGAGTACGAAAAAAATATACAGGTTTCCACTTGAAAAACGAAAGTCAACGTCACTTCCGTTTAAACCTTCAACTTTCCAGAAATGCCTCTTAATGTCCAACTAAGCATGTCCCAGTCTTGAGGCGATATTTTTATTTGCCAAAAAAATACTGCGTGATTCCAATTTTCATTGAAACCCGGAATATACAGGGTATTTCAGAACTTATCTTGTTACGAAAAAAAAGTAATAAAAGTCCTACAAAAATCGAGATAATAAAATAATACAGTTCACATACTTATAAAAGCTGTTCAAAATTGTTTCCATTGACTTCAGTTGGGCCTCATGTAATATGCGCCACGGTGTTGCATGTTGACCTGTTGGGCTAACTGCCTTGTGCTTATTCTCTGATTTTCTTCGACAATATCCAAAATTTCATCTTCGGCATTTAAAACCTATTCGGAAATCGGTGTGCATACACACGAGAAGCCGCTCGCGAATTTTGCCCTGCTTCTCTGTACGTTAAAACAATGTCCGCTAACTCATTAGTGTACACACGTGCCAATCTTATTAATAAATAACTAAAAACAAAAATCGACAGTTCTCCATTCAGATCACCCACGATACGGATTAAACCTTATTTACACGTTATCAGTATGAAAAAACGAAAAATTCCTGGTATTTTGTTTTCGTCAGTTGTTTGGTACAACATTTGCTGCAATAAATTATTAATGCGTGTTCTAATATCACGACGATGAACACAAAATACAGATATTTCTTTTTTAATTTATTATTGAAACTCAGGTTTATAACTTAATTTCTGTAGGACTTTTATTACAGTTGTTTGAGAAATCAACTTCTTTCGTAACAGTGGTTAAAATTTGTCGGATAAGTTGTGAAACACCCTGTATAATATTATATTATAGGTGGTATATTTTACTAATAAAAGTATGTGTATGTGCCAAATTTTCGTGAGGCTTATAAAAATATATTGGAATAAAAATATTAATTAGGCTATTAGCAGAATGTTTATGGGAAAAGTAAACATCTTGTTAAACTACTTCCTGGGGCTTTTTATATTTTTAGCATCGCTATGCTTAGCTGTGGTGTTGTGCTCTGGATTTAGCCATCGAAATAAACTGTATTTTGCGTAACATTCATGGCTGCAGTGCCATTTGAAAAACTGCATGATTCTAATCACTCCACTGTTTCTTATGAAATAAATGTAAACTGTAAACACTTTAGTCCTAACGATCATCTATGCCTCATCACTAACACCAATAACACCCCTTCATCCGTTGTGGTTTGCTTGTGCAGGGGCTTGCCTCACCATCGTAAGCTGCTAGAGGGCGCTTCTACGGGTAAGCTAGCGCCGTTGGCGATCAGTCCTGACGACGAATCGCCCGCTGTTGTTGCGGTGACTCCGCCTGCGACCAACGATACGGCCGTTGGTATGGCGACGGGCGGAGGTCAGCTGCAGCAATGCCAAGTCGGTGCTTTGCAGAACGGGGATCAGAGGAGATGCAGTATCACTACGTTAGTGCTTGCTTATTTCGTAGGCGATGTAGTCGTAGACGAATTCATGTAGAACGCAAAAGTGGTGTCAAGTGGCACCGGCTATTATGTAAAAAACGTCAAAAATAGGACGAAATGTCATCTTGCAGACTAGGCAGTTTTTAATGTGCAAATAGTTCATTCCACGTTTGCTCGCTATGGTCGCTGTTCGCTGACGTTTAAGCAACAGCTTGTGCTAAGTTAACATACGAAGGGTACAGAGGAAGAAATGAATGTCACGAAAAGTAAGTTTTGAGAAAAGTGAATTTAAAAGTTTGAAACCTCGTTTTACAGGGTCTTAAAAAAGTTAAATTATACTCGTAAATAAAAATATATTTTCCGATGTACAGGGTAGCCCAAAGCGAAGCCAGACCAAACATCTTTACTGGAAAATACTTTTTATTGTTGTACTTGTGATTTTGAACATTTTTTTATGTTAGCGTCGATGCCTAAATTCAACTTTTTTGAGGATGAACCTGTCGCGTTTCCAATTGGGTATAACAACGAAATACCATTGTTTTTTGTGTTTCCGATACCTCATGGGGTGCGTTAGGACTACAAAATACCAAATTTGTGACCTACGTATTGCAAAAAAACCGACGAAACGTCACTTTTCGAGATACGTAATACCCGAGCCGTTTGGTCTAAGGGCGAAAACACAGTGGAAGCCGGTTTCCCGCTTACCGACAACCGGCGCCGATCAGCGCCTATAAGCTTCTATAATAATATGCTCACAATAAAGGCAGGCCGGTTGTCAGAGGAGGTTGGATATAGACAAGTTAGTTAACACTGTGAAGGTTACACTAATTTTTAGTTAGGTGTTCAACTTTTTCCGGAATGCAATTGAATGTTTCATGATTCATTCTGGTGTAGTGCAAAAAGCGGTCGGGGTTATCTTTCAACGCCTCGAACAAATGATGATATTCACCGTAATGTACCCTATCACGATTTATGGGGTAAATACCAGCTTTCTTTCTAGTGATAATTTTAGTTACCCCATGTTGACGCGAAGACTACGCTGGAACTGACAATAGTCCGGTTTTATTTGCTTTTTTCTCGTCAGCACTGTGTCCATGACCAGCGCCGAAATTCGGTACCGATCGGCGCTGGTTGCCGGTAAGCAAAAAACCGGCTTCCACTGTGTTTTCGTCGGAAGACCATAACAGCCGGCCACCAACAGGGCATGCTTTAACATTGACGTGCCCGTATCTATCGTTCCCCAAAAAATGCTTCTAACAGATGAACGACGGGAGGGTCTTTTTTATGGGGTGGTCCATATCAATCCCCCAACCGCTTCATTTTCTTGATACCCGTGCATACCGAGAAGTGAAAAATCGTTCTTCTACGAAAGGTCACCGGATCTCGTAAATATTTTTTTAATAGACAACTGGGCATCTCCTGCCAACCAAGTGCAACTGCGATTCGTCATTGTCTGTTAAGGCGATCCAAAGGACCTTTGCCTTTGTGTCAAGGAACGTCGGTCAGTTATTCTGTCGGCCTGGTCACCCAAAACCCAGACATGATTAAATAGAAAGAAGCAGAAGAAAAAAAGGTGAAAAAAGAGAGCAAAGAGTGAGAAATGCAGTCTTTAGAAAAGGCGTCTGAGCATTGGCCAACCAAGCACCGTTGGGTTTTCCTTTTCAGACACAACTAGGCTTGGTATAACAAAGCTAATGTGTGGTGAGACGTGATTGAACAAGTAAAAAAATAAATGGAAAAATAGTCACTGTTCAGTTGAATTGAAATTCCGGCTCTGTCGTAACATCAGTATTTACATTGTAGTCGTACGTCGTATAACTGTACGGATAGGACAGGACCGGCTTCGGTTTGGTTCAGGTTTGATTGAGTTTGTGGATCCCAATATCGTTTACCATTTTTTCTTTACTAACATATGGGGACAATTTCCCAATTGGGGATGCGAACTGAAACGCGGTGGGCAAGGGGGGATAAGTCAGCTATCCGGGCAGGCTTTAACCATGGCAGGCCAGTACTGTCACAAAATAAAAATGCTGCTAACATATGAGCGACGTCTTTTTGGGGGTCCAAATTGACCCTTCTGAACCTCAACCGCTTTATTTCCTTGATGCACCTGCACACAATAGACCTGGGAGTGGGAAACCTTTCTTCTAACAGATCATCTAGGGCTACGGTTTTACGTCATGGACTTTTGTTTTAGTATAGTTATTTCCTATTCAGTTATTCAGGGTGATTCAAGAAACAATGGCAATATTTCTAGGCCAGAAGATTAAACAAAAATAACAAAAAAGTTTCTATAAATTAAATATGTATAAAATACAGGCTGCTTGTTTCTACGTCACGGATGATATGAATAAGCACAAAACACGAACATTGTTCAATTAACGCTATGGTGATATAGGTAGGATGACTCGCCTAATGCACTGAATAGAATTGTCAATATCAAGCTTCACTAACTTGCCGTATTTTCCAGGAACAAGTTGAAGTTTTTATACGGATTTTACCTTAAATGTATCTCCAAGATAGATGTAAAAATGACCTAAAGTAAGTTGACTCTCTATTTACCACGCTACGCTGTTACCAGTTCGTGGAGAATTAACTTAGCTCTTGTGAGAAAAAACTTCTACGAATCTGTTTAACAAAAAATTAGATGACCTTCCTACTCCCCTTGAGAGGGATTGCTGCAGACGCACATGATCGTTGCGATGGCCAATCCCACGTTAATGACGATATTGGCCTTCACCATGCACAGTACATGCAGCCCACAGAAGTACGGAAGCGATTGCCGGCTGTGATGTACGACCACCGACGACGAGGCTTGTCCATCGAGGACGACGTCGGATGTATCGAAACCCGACTATAACACATCTTAGATTTAAGGGTACATGTTCAGGGGCATCTATGATGAGTGAAATATGCCTACTATGTGCATAGAATTACTGGGATTGGAAGCCTCCTGCAACCCCTAATCCCCAATGATTAACCTCTACAAATTTTTTTCCGAAAATGGTCACGATCGTCTGAAATGTGAAAAAACGAAGTTTGGGCGATTTTTATTTTATTGTTTAAAAATTTCATCAAAATCCGAGCGGTACTTCCCGAGTTGTGGGCGGTTATGAGGTTAACGGACAGACAGGCAGACCGACGGAAATGAGTGGCATGGTTTTTCATGTTGTACATGTCATATAGCATCCAAAAATGTAATATCTCATTTTCAATAATTTTCGCGATTACAATGTGTTCCGGTCAGAAACATTTAAAATAAATTTATCAAAAAACGCTATAGGTGTTTAAAAAATAATTTGTTCGTGTTCCGTAGAGGTCGTAGTTCCCCAGTTTCACGCCACTGGTGTGGTCTCAAGGACGAACATTTTTGTATATATTGGCTATATGTAGAAAATTTCTTGTCAATATCTTAATCCACTCCGATTTTTCGGTTTACACATTTTAACTGTAACACCCTGTCGCTAAGGTGCCTTTTTGGGACCTATGTTTATAGAAACATGTCATGTAATTTTTTTGCTGTATATTCTAGAAATATTCCCACTATTTTCTGAATCACCCTGTATATATCTTTTTATACGGTCCGAACATCTACGATTTGAAAATTTTCGATACACAAATATAACATGAAAAAAGGGCCCTGGCAAATTTCATAATTTTTGAGCTCTACAAAAATTACAGCCTAAAGTGGTCATGAGGGCAGTAACTTCTATTTGTTGGTTACTTCAAATATGATGAAAAAGGAGTTTGAATAATTTTTAAAACTTCTATCACTTGTAAGTATTTGACTACGTCCGAATATTGTCAGAAAATTGACAACCAATAAAATTTGGGTAAAATCTGATAACTTATATATACGTATACTCATAAATCCGCTGCCATTTCGTAGATTTTCGAAAATTAATTTGTATTACCCACTGCGATCTCCCGGCAAAGTACCGCCGAAATATCACAACAATCTGTGAAGCCATTTTCGTGATTACAAGAATAAAAGAAAGGCCAACTTCCAACATTTTCGTGATATAGGCGCTATAATGAGACATCAAAAAACACTCAATAAATGCCACTGGAAAAAGGTTTTTTCGTGAAACACACTGATTGAATTTTACAGGACTGGACTTGTCCTAATTATTTGTGTTAATTTTATATCCAACAGCAACAAGGGTATCTTTATAAAATGCCATTCATTAAGGGTGGTCGAGCATTTTTGATTTTGTATGAACACTTCACATCATCTTTGTCTGTTCTACATGAATTGAAGGTGTAGTCGCAAAAACGTGTATATGGGAGTAATGTAGTTAGTCATATTCGGTTTTTAAAAATTGTCAAATTAGCTATTTTATTTGACATATTCAAAGAGATGAGATCGAGAACAAAAATCGTACTTCTCCCAGGTGAAGTCGAAAAGAGAGACATAATTTTTTCCAATTTCAGATCGTGCATCATAATCAAAATGAATTTTTATACATATTTTCCTCTACATATTCACGAATAGGATGTTAGAAAAGCAGTTCCATATAGTTTTTTTTGTGATAATTCACATGGGTTGTGTTTTGGAATAGTGAAATATAATGAAATTTAGGTAATTATTTCTTTTGCAGTTTTTTTTAAAATAATGTTTAGTTGAATATTTCGGTCATTGTTATCTAAACGAGAAAATTTAAATTACACAACAAAAATACTTGACAGACCCTGTTCAATTTGCGTGAATTAGCAGTCATTTGGCTGAAACTGGCTATATCTCAGTTTAATGAAGGATGGAAAAGTAAATTGGATACATCCTGCATCTCACACTTCACAATTTTTAGCGGTCCGAAATATTTAAACAAAAAATTAGATTGCATTCAAATATACATACGTAGAGTTAGTAGATATTTTTAGTGTCAAGGATACAATGAATGCAAAAAAAATGTTCATCATAGTATTCCCAGGAGCTTCTAATGTAACTGTGACGTTGTTAGTCTACTATACGAGGGCGGGCCGATAAGGACTTAACCTCCTCGCCCGATGGCGCCACTATCGCAAGAGAAATTAAATTAAATTGTATATTACAATCTCGTGGACGGCTACTGTCAAAATTTCAGTCTATTGAATCAAATATTGCTTGGATGCTGTGTACAGCTGCTTCAGAAAACCTATGTTTCAAACGGGTTAAAGATGTTGGAGCGTCAAGTGTATCGCGCTGAAAGGAGATGTTGAGAAATAAATCTCCACTTAGTCAAAATGTTCGTTTGTCTCTTGTAGGCTAAGTACTTACCGGACCGACTTCGTATTCTATATGAACTCATGAATTAATGTTCCAAATTCTGGAAATTGTCAATTCAAACAATACTTGTTCTTTACTAATTGTAATAAAAAGTAGACCTTGTTAAAAGAGGGCCAGAAAACCCAGAATATTTACAGAGAGAAGACGATAACTTTTTGATGGAAGTTTTAGGTTTTCCATGATTTTGAGACAAATTATGACACAATCGTTTTTCTTCCCTCTACCGTCAGTTGCCAAATTGCACTGATGAGCGTGTTAGATCAAAGCCCGAAACATTACTTATTATTGTCTTATTTTTTAGGAATCCGAGTGCGGGTAGCCTAGTCATATCAGAAACAGGATCTTTGGACAGAGCCAAGGCAGCTTACGAGAGGCGGAAGAAGAATAAAGAAGATAGCGAATTAGGGTCAAGCTCGACGGCCCCTGGCAGAGTGGAAATCACCAGGGTGAATCCGGATGATCTCATCGAGGAACTGCTGAAGAACACCAATTTGGAAACGGCTGATGATTCGGCTGAAAGTGAGCATACATATTTTAAGATTCAACGAGACCCCTTTTCACTAAAATTGAACGCGTCCTGATAAACACTCTTAGGCCCGTATCGTCAGTCGCCCCTACAATTGTAGGGCGCCTTTATGGCCTCCTTGATTGTCATAGTATTCTACTTCTCCGTGTCAGCGCTCTATTTTGAGGTTATGTCACAAAACATCAATTTGCATCAAATCGTAATTGGTTTTGAGTTATATCATGTTTTATCAGCCTGAAATTTCCTACAATTTAAAAGGAAAACAAATCTTCACAATAGGAGAGCGCTGACGCTGTCACGGGATAAGTGTAATCTAGAAGTTTTTGAAGGAGAGAAAGGAGTATGACAATCAAGGAGGCCATAAACACGCCCTACAATTGTAGGGTCGACTGACGATACGGGCCTAAAGGGTATCCGAGTAGGTACTTTAAGTTTTGAAGGACCCCCAATGAAAGTTTGCAACCAACATACTTTATTTTTTAATACGGACCTGGAAGTATGTTTTTAGTGTTCTAGATGAAGTAATAGATAATATGACCTTCTAAATCTAACAACAACGTAACGGATATAGTATTAAATAGTAAATTATAAAATTAATGGACCTGTAAATAAAGTTTCCAGCATTGTACTCCAAAATGAAAAAATCAGTGTCTCCAACCTCATACAAAATCGTCTACTCAAATAACGAAAGTAGATCATTAGAACGAGGTTTATGTGCTTTTTCCAAAATGTATCCGAAATCGGAAATTCCGATATAGAGGGTGTAGTTGTGGGTAAAACGGTTTTGTAGAACTGCAACTGCCTATATTTCATTTCCTGTTCGATCATAGTCAAATCTATAGCATAAGCTGCATACGCCTACCAATGGGTGGTTAAAAAGTGAGGTCATAAATAACTGACCAAAATCGGCAAAACTCCCGGTTGTAAGAGGTTAAAGACAGTTCAACCACAGTTTATTTATAATCACCTCAGCGGCCCCTATTCTCGGTTAAAGTATCTCGCTCTACCAAGATCTCGAGATTTCGTGATTAATATGTATCACTTCACTGGTAAATATAACTGCCATTAGCCCCCTTGTTCCGACCCAGTTGTACAATTTGTTTTTGGCTGATATATTTTGTGCTAGATTAATTCTCAGCTGACACGTCCTGTCCATAAATTACGTCTATGCAAAATTTCATGTCCAGAGGTCAAATAGTGTTCGAGAAAAATTTATCTCGAAAAGTAATAGGAATATTCAGCCCCCTCCTACCCCGTCTAAAGGATATAATTTCTGGAACTGTTGATAATGATTATTTTAAAGATGAAACTGAAGACAAAACTTTTACGCTGGATTCATTTGAAATATTCAAGTCCTTTGCAAAAGTGAAAAGTGTGAATTCCCACTTTATAATTTATAAAAAAGTTCCCATTTTACTCTGTAAGAAAGAACCGAGTACACAAAACCCATATTGGTATTCCTAGCTTTGAAAAATGATTCCCGCAGCATCTTTTACCCCTCATTTCAACCCCTTCAAGTCTAAGTTTCACAACAAAAAGTCCGTTTACAATATCTAATCTATAAATATGCTAAAATTCGTCAAAATTGGTTCAGCCGTTTTGGTATGAAAACGGAACATACATATGTACACATTTTCACATTCATACAGGGCGATTCACAAGTCGTGACCAAAAATGAAGCATCATACACAGGATCGCATTTTAAGGGGGGTCTTCTTTGTTTCATTTTTGGTCACGACTTGTGAATCACCCTGTACAAGTAACGATATTAGTATACATTGTCCGACATTTCAAGTTAGGACATATTTGAGACAGAAACTTTATGGGTCAAAACAGTGAACGTCACCTAATTTTAATGAAAGCTTAACGCACGAAATATTTAAATAATTACGATTTTTTCCAGCGTCTGGTCTACAGTTGTTCATAGCGAAAGACGGTACAGCGGCGGTGGGCAATCACGAGGTGAAATCCCAAATGCAAACCGGAGGCGTGCAGATATTCAAACAGGTGGTGATGGACGACAGGTAGCCTTCGTAATGGAAGAGGTGGAAGTGACGGAAGGAGTTTCAGGCTGTACACGACAAACTCAAGAGCTCGGTGCAAATGTCGGTCATCTCCATATTTTCTTAAATGTGTTTCTTCCATAATGTCAATAAGTTAACAGAGATTAGCAAGATGGCTAGGCGCTAGGCAAGACTAGATAAAATATAAGGAGTGGCCACGCAATCTGGAAGTCATGGGAGTGTCAGTAAAATAAAATTGGTCGGAAAAGTCAGGAAAAATAAATGGTAGAGAGGAAAATTCGTGAATCTCTTGAGGAAAGGCAGGTGAAGAGAGTGTAATGTCCGTTCGCGTGGTCACATAAAAAGCGAAGGGCCGTATTTGCCTTCTTACTTCGAAGGACGCCTTTCTGGCTATTTTTCGTACATCTTTTTTCTCCTTTAAGAAGCCAAAAACTATGTTCCTTTTTGCTTTCCTAAATGAGAGAAAAAAACGGAAGGAACAAAGGTAGTTTATGGCCAAAAAGGGTGGAAAATAGCAGCGACTGTGAATACGACCCTAGGGATAGGCAAGACTTCTCAGAATTTCACGTAGAATTTTGCTCAAAGCATGGCATAGGGCATTGATGATAGTAAAATATGGAGCTGATTCATTTTTAGCCTGATTCTAACTAAAATTGGACTATTGGAGTATTTGGATGGAGGGGATGAATAATCCTCTTTAGGCATAGTGACGCATCTGTAAACTTGAGAGAAGGGAAAAAGAAATCAAAATATACCGAGTATTGTGTCATTACTTTGTGAATATGCACTTTGAAAGTTTAAGGGTTTGGAGCAACGATTTTGAACAGCTAAAAGAGACGAAAATGTTGGGTATATGAAACGGCTTTTCAATTTTCTTTTATTGGTAAGATCAAAAAGGTGGATGATTGGAGAATATGATTCGTTTCGCTTGACTCTGTTTGGAGATTTAAAAAAAATGTAATAAAAGGTGCATAATCAGCTGTCTTTTTATCTTTTTTTGTCTGAGCTGACAATTTTCTTACGGCCAGAGGTCCTAAAACTAAGCATGTCTCAACCAGGTGCTAATCTCTTTTTGAGTTTATAGCAACCGTCTATCTGTTAACTTAAAAATTACGTAAGAACTTCTGCCTCTCGGATTTTTCTAACTTTAATACGATGGCGGTTCAATAAGTACCCGTGTTGGAAATGAAAACGATTTTTTCCAATTTTTTTTCAACATAGTCCCCTTTTAGAAAGATACGTTCCTGCCATTTTTTAACCGCTCCTAAAAATTGGATTTGTCGAACTCTCAAAAATAAGTCTCTGTCTCGCCTTCTTTGGAACAGATTCACCGGGAGAAATCCATTGTTTTGATTGTTCCTTATCTTCTGTATCAATCAGTCTGAAATTTGTTGTGCTGTCGTTTGATAGATGGCAGCACACGATGATAATACCAACTTCCCCCAGGAACGCCCTCTGTCGTCAAACACGAGTGCTTATTGAACAAGCCTCGATTTTTGCACGAAGTTGACTTTTACCGAAATATTATGAATAATAAATCTTTGCAATCTCCATCTTTATTTTTGTTAATATATGGTTATTAGACCATTTTACGTCTCTTGATTCACCCATGCTCCAAGAGTCAATATTGAAACTGTTCATAGCCTGGACTATAGTATAGTGCAAAACAGTACCCGGCAGATCTGTCTATATCGATATTACTATTTCATTTAAAAATATGTATTGTGTTTGGTCAAAAAGAGCGTTCTGTTAGTTGGTTGTCATTTTGGTTTTGTGGCCATAGCCTTTTAGTTTTGCGTTGTTTAGTGTCGATTACCCTAACATCACAAAATTGCTAGAGATCCAATATTTTCAGTTTACGTGACATTTAAAGAAATGTCATAGAGTTAATTTTCCGTTTGAAATTTTATTTTATTTTTTTATCCTATTATACTTTAAATACCAGAACATTATGAAAACTTGGCAACCATATATTTTTTGTAAAGAAGGTTTCAAGAAATGCTTCAGGGTATGATGACCTCAGAGGTCATTTTTGTACATTCGAATATCAACCACCATTTTCGACAACAGATTTGTTTGGAGCTCGAGATTTTCATACATGAGGTCAAGTGGTCATAAGTGGTTCAATCAGCATGACCTACTGTAACATCAGAACAGTACACGAACATCCCGAAAACTTAGCAACCACGCATTTTTGGGAAAAAAAGTTTCAAGGAAGATTTTGAAATACCTTAAAAGCAATTTGTCGATCACTAAATACGACCTAGACAACGACCTCAAAGCTCATTTGGAGGTCAACTTTGTATATTCAAATAGCAGCTATCATTTTTGGAAGAATGTTCTTTTGGGGCAAAATTGCTAGAGATCTAATATTTTCAGTTTATGTGACATTTAAAGAAATGTTAATTTTCCGTTTAACAAATATGTTTAAAATTTTATTTTATTTTTTAATCCTATTATAACTATTACATACCAGAACACTCTGAAAACTTGGCAACAATATATTTTTTTCAAAACAGGTTTCAAGAATGTTTCAGGGTATGATGATGAGACAATGATCTCAGAGGTCTTTTTGTATATTCAAACAACAGCCACCATTTTTGACAATAGATTTGTGGTCATAAGTGGTTCAATCAGCATAACCTACTGTAACGTCAGAAAAGTACACGTTCATCCCGAAAAGAAAGGTTTTTGAATACCTTAAAAGCAATTTGTCGATCACTCTAAATATGACCTAGCCAATGACCTCAGAGGTCATTTGGAGGTCAACTTTGTAAATTCAATTTTGACCGCAGATTCGTGTGGGGCTCGCGATTCTACATCATAATTGTTTGACACACATGAGGTCAAGTAGTCATAAGCGGTTCAATCAGTATGACCTACTGAAACGTAACACGAACACTTTGAAAACGTGGTGAACACGCACTTTTCCTCACTCTGTATCGTCAGAGTACAGAGCAGGTCATACCATGATTTCTTTTTGATCTTTTAAGACGTAGACTATTACTAATCACTAATGACCAATTGACCTCATGTATGAAAATAGATCCTGATGGTAAATCCCGAGCTCGACACGAACCTACTGTCAAAAATGGTTATTGCTGTTTGAGTTTACACCTTTGACCTCCAAATGACCTATTGTTTCGGTCATATCTGAGGTCATAGACAACTAACATATTTGATACCATGAAGCTTTTCTCAGAACCTGTTTCGGGTTGCTATTTGAATTTAAAAAATTGATCTCCAAATGAGTTGAGGTCATTGTTAAGGTCATATCTGAGTACACCGACAAATTGCTTTTTTGATACCCTGAATCGTTTTTCAGAACCTTTTTTACAAAAATGCAAGGTTGCCAGGTTTTTGGGGGTGTTCGGGTATCTAATAGACACAGCTACCCAAGCGCGCCCAGCGGTCAGCGCTTGAACTAAAGAATGTATATACCTCAGTTCTTGCGACCGCCACTAGGAGCGTTGCTTGTTGGAGCTGTTTGAGTCGCCAATGAGAGTGCGAGTAAAGAATAATCAAAAAATTATTTCGCGAACTAGCTGTAGAATGCCTGGAGGCCGAACGTATTGTTAGAAAGTATTACAACAGCAATTGTTGTCAATTTTTGTGATATATATTGTTATTAGTAGCGTGAAAATAAGTATGTATACATCACGATTGTTGAATGTGATGTTGCGGATATATTGGTTCTGACAATATTATTTATTGTAAATTATTATTTACTGCGTATTAAATATTTATTTTAAATGTAAAACTGGATTTTACTGTAATATACTTTTTAGTATGTATTTTGTATTTTTTCTTCAATTCATTTTGTGTGTATATTCAGAGGTGGTAGACAAGGAACAGTCGACCGAGGCGGTACCACACAGTAGCTTTTTCCATGGTGTCTTAGGAATGTCCGCTTGTTTCCACGCACTCGAATATGTTCCCAACAAAGAAATTAATGATGATGGATCCATGGAGCACTAAAAATTCCGGACGTAAACTCACTCAATTTTCAGTGGAGGGTGGACTCAAAGAAACAACATCGATGATAAAATTTGTTTCACGAACATCTGCAACATTGATATTGTTCAACACCACCTGCAGTCTCATCGTCCCGCCATGTTTTTCTTGGCGGAGTTCAAAATCTCAGTTCTGCACCGATTCATCATCTTGGCTTCCCAAATTACGTGGTGCACTCCAATCTGAGAAAGAACGGGAGAGTTGTGGCTTTTGTCCGCAGCAGTCTTTCCTGCTTCAGAGACGTTTTATCGCTCATAGTTATTTGCTGCCTTTATCGCTCTCCCTCGGGCCACAACTGGGACGACCTACTTCAATACTTCGCTGTCAAGATCGACTTCCTGAACATCAGTCACCCCGCTTCAGAGGTAGTTCTCCTCGGTGATCTCAATGCCCATAATGAGCTCTGGTCGGGCTCAAACAAGACCGATGCAGCTGGTTGTACTGCTGAAGCGTTCGCCATAACTCAAGGACTGACCCAGATGGTAACGAGCCCTACTCTCTTCTCCGGCGTTTCGTCATACGCCAGCAGCCTGCTGGATCGCTTTCTGACCACGCATCCAGTTGCTTGCAGCACTACTGCCCTGTCTCCCCTGGATAACTCGGACCACGGTGTTCTGGAGGCACGAAACTTGAAATTTGCTCATGTCCAAAACATCCCAAACAAGGGATCTAAGACTGGCCCTTACAACTACAGGGTGCGGCAGAGAGGATGGACGGTTTTAAAAAAATCATAAAATGGTTAATTTTTACCCGAAAACAAATTTATTGATGGAATCAGGTTCACAAGGAAATATCATTTGAGACAGTCAAGTGTGGAAACAATTCTGCTGGTTAACCATGCTGTTTAGGTGAAAGTGGGCTTCGTCACTCGTAAACAAAATGAGGTTCTTATTTTGATCAGTGCTTCCATCTCACGTACGAAGTTCATTCGTTGTGCATAATCTCCGGGCTGTAACTGTTGCACAATGGCCAATTTGTAGGGGTGAAAGCGGAGATCTATATGCAAAATTCGCCTTATCGAACGATCACTAAGGCAGATCGAGTCGGACTGCGAAGAAAGACCTGTCGAACGCGTTCAACATTTTCAGGAGTTCGAACTGTTCGCGGCGCTCCTCTTGGTCTTCTGTTGATCAGTTCACCACGCCTGCGAGGTGATTCAACCCAACGAACGATGGTGTTTCGAGAGGGAACAGCTCTATTTCGATGAATGTGGCGACGAAACTCACGCTGTACGACGATGACTGACCCATTATTTCGGACGAAACAATCATAGGCGAAAACGCGGTGCTCCACCGTCCAAGGCTCCATAACGACAACTGGTAAAATAATGCTAGGATCTCACGAGTCAAACGGCACCCTGCCCACCTCTCTCGTAGACGGAGGCGGAGAGTACTACCCATCCCAAAAACGCCCGTCCTCTCTGCCGCACCCTGTACAAACCTATAGATCTGCTTTCTGTTATAAGTAACGCGAGAGGTGCATAAATCGCTATCGCCTCTCAGAAAAGCTTTGCAGATGAGTGGCTGACTTTCGGTCTGGCCCTCTTTTTTTCTACTCCCCCGATTTTCTATCGATTCGAAAATACTGTACTTGAAAGGACTCGGTAGAAAGGAGAGAGGAAATCTAGACACAGGTTTGAGTAAACATGTTATACCAATCAAAATGGAGATAATTTTGACAGTCCAAAAACTAACCAAAGATTCTGGTCAAGATTTCCTTCGTATAATTTTATCTATGGAACCGAAAACTTTTAAAAAACACATTACAAACGAACAAAAGGAGAAAATGATTGAATTTCTCCGAGAGCATCCTCGAATGCACCAAGGAAAATTCAATCATAGAGTACATGATACTGTTTTAGAATGACTAAAACTTGATATCTAATATTGCCTTTGTTGTGAAAGTGCCGAAGTTTGTGGGGGTGGTTGTATGAATGCAGTCAATATGTCCAGCAATTCGTACGCCATATCTCTGGTCAACCTAAACATCTATACAAATTTTCGATCCGAATTTATGAAAGGAACTCAGTGCCCAAGAATATCTTTCCCAATCTCCCATTCCTCAACTGCCTCCTCTACATCCTCGTTAATAATATCGTTCCAATAGATCAATTGATCGTAATTATCCATTTTTGAGGTAGTCTTGCATCAAGAATGAAACGATATCATTCTCACGAAATTTTAGTAATAAGAAAACAAATTAATGATGTATTGGGCTGAATACACGCCTGTGCCAGATGGTGCAAAGTGGATAGTCTCCCCCCATCATGTCCCACACATGTTCGATGGGATTTAACACTTAGTAAATGAAAGGGTAACAACTAAAAATATCTGTGCTACTCAGTTCTCAGAAACTGCTTTCTTCACAAAAACTAAGAGATAGCATTTTAACAAAGGTCAACAAAAATAAAACATTGACATTTTTGCCACAGCAATCTTTGAATATAGTCATTATGTTGCCAAAAAAAAAAACAAGTTGAGGAAATTACTTTTTCTGGGTGTAACACTCAGTCAGTGGCGAAGCGTCCATGTAACCATTGTTACCATTGGTAACAGTTAAAAATCTTAAAAACAAATATTTTATGACTAAGTGCTGTGAAATAAGTTCATTTATTTGTTTACCAACAGCGATATGTAATAGTAATTCAGTAAATAGCCCCACGAAAATAATGCGCCCTATAGTGTCTAGGTTTTGTGAACACGATAGCTGACTCGCCTCGACTTGGTTGTCGGTTGTTACCATTTTCATTAATGGATACACTTGGTAGTCCGTCGGGGACTTGGTTACTCACTTCTCACTCGTTAGTAGCCGTTTTGGTTACCGGCTGTAGTGTGCGTGCAAATAAACATGGATGAGTGTCGCTGCATAATCAACTACTTGAAAAGTCATTCTCCTTGTATAATTTTTAAGAAAACAAGGAGATCATTGAAAATGGAAGACCAACACCTATTTTAGATAATTTTAAAAAGGAATAAAAAAACGTAGTTTGATATTTCAAATTGAGTTGGTATATGGAAACTCTTGGTTATGTGGTTGCAAAAAAACAAATTGTATTGTTGGCGATGTCTTCTGTTTTATACAGAAAAAAATGAGTGGACCAGCAGCGGAGTCAACGATTTAAATAGTTTTAGGGCTCTAAAGAGGATACATGAAATTTCTCCGTTACATGTGAAATGTGTAGCCAATTTAACTCAGTTTGGCAAAACAAGAATTACCGATCATTTTGAAGGGGATGACTCTGACAATAGAGGAAATTACAGGGAATTGTTAACATTCGGACAGCTTGGATTAGTCATAGCATAAGACGATGAGGTATATCAAGTGCCCTAGACACTCAGTCCAGGGATGTTTACCTTAATTCAACAATAGTTTAAATAAAATACCTAAAATAAGCAAAAACGTATATTTGGGACGTTCAAAATAAACTGACGTGAACTCACAGTGTTTTCAATTCACAGCGGCAAGTATTTTAAAATTTCAAATTCAAGTATCGTGTATTACTTCAGTATGGGGCTCTACTACATAAAGTTTTAAAATATAAATTACCCAGATATCTGTTTATTGCTTTGGAGAAGAGACGTTCACTCCGCCAAGTTTCCTTACGCAACAATGCCTATTTCAATATTCCAGTTCATACAATATCTACATTCAAAAAATCTTTTACTTACACGGCACCATATCTACTGAACGATCATTTAGAACTTTTTGAAGCACCTTCCATCCAAAACTTCAGAAATGAGATGGAAAAAGTGCTACTACAGCTGCAAAGATTTGAATCCACAAATTAAATTTATGGCGCGTGCTACAATACCCTCCATTAACACTCAGACTATATCGTATTATATACTGTGTTGTGCATAATATTTGTTGTGAATACTAATCATTCTGTTGATGTTAGAAAACGCTCATGAAGTTAACTTTTTATTGGGAGGTGAGAAATGGCGCTGCCGATCCTCTTTCCTTTTGGAATTTTGTCGTTTTTATATTTTTATGTATATACATTCCAATAAAAAGTATTATTATTATTATTATTTTTCTCCGTGTTCTGACAGTGCAGTTGGGTTCACGTGAGGTCAGGACGGCAACATTTTCAGAGGATGAACTTGCAATTATTGCATTAATTCTGGATTTTTTTTATACTCCCGACTACCACGAAGACCTAATCCCTAAACACCCATGGGGTACCGTGTTGCTATAGTAAGAAACACAGGTGAAAGGGGGGACGCCACACGGACTCTGGCGAGGGAACACGTGTACATGCAATATGCACACATTCTGGCCTCGCCTACGAGATCCGCCGGGTGGTACCTCCACGTTCGACAGTCAGAGACCGTCGACCACCTACGAAAGATGAAGAAGAAGAAAACGGAAGTCCACATATTTTGAATTTAACTGGCTCTACAGCACGGGATGTACGCGTACAAATTCAACTAGTTTTTCATCATTCATGTTTTTGACCAATTATATCAAAATATTCACGAAATTACATAAAAACGCGGCCGTGAAAATCGAAAATTATCGTTCCAAAACAATGCGATGATCACGGTACGGCGTCGTCGACAGCATGGAGAACACGGCCACTTCCACGTGCCGGTCTGGTGTGAATCAGTTCATCCAAACTCCATGAAGAATCTGTTTAGTTTCGCCGGTCACAGCACTGACACGTCACGGCTGAGTATGAATAGGTCTTAAGAGTGAAAAATTAATAATTTTTGGCGACGTTGTTACGGAAAGGATCGCTTAGATTGTA